ACGACGACGACGACGACTGTACTACTGCAGTACTACTGCTGTACTACTATTGCAACTATTACAATGTACTATTGCTGTACCAGCGACCACCAAACATCTTAGAACCCCACCCCCCCAAACAACTATCCAGAGGCGAAAAAGCGTTCCCGGCCACTATTCCGGATTTCGGATGATCGGGAGGGGGGGTCTTAGTAATCAGGAAACCACATTCCACCAACGCACTACGCTTGTTTCGAGCCACAGCAGGTCGTCGCCAGCGAAAGCGCCAATATCGTCCCAGGGAACTGCCTTCCGCTCAGGCCGCGTGATTGACACCTTTTAGGGTTTCGCGCTAGACAGAGATGATAGTAGTATGACTCAGGCTTATCTGCGGCATAATATGGGTCAGGCATGCAAGCTGCAAGAAGGATGTTGTTCACATTCGGATCGATTCTGCAGCGACGCCTGGAATCTTTTTTGAAGCCTTTGATGTCAGGAGCATTCCTGCGGGCTCGATCGTCCACAACATCGAGCTGCGCCCAGGACAGCTTGCATTTGGTGTATTAAGATTACTACTATCATTGTTGTTTGTATTATGATGAGTATTACCATTACTACTATTATTATTGCAAAAAATATTATAATGATTAGTGCCATTCTCATTCTGCTGCAAGGCAGCTTGGCGGGTCAGCCAAACGATAAGCCCATCCGTTTGTTCGGCAAGCCCAAGTTAACTTCCAGTTGCTGTTTGGACCCTGCTCCGTTTGGGATGGGAGTTTGTAGGGTTTAGGATTTAGGGCTTTATAGGGGTTAAGGCTCATGTTCTGAACATTCCATGTCTTTTTTGGTGTCTGTTTTGTGAGCTTAGCAGTCTCCGCCAAGCAGGAGCAGGTGGGCAGTGCGAATCCCAGCGCATGACGCACTTGCTCTGACTGCTGATTTCGGGGCTTGTCCTCTGTGTTTAGGGCTGCAGACGTTTTGAGATGACACCTGTGGATACTTCTTACTCGGAGGAAGGATGACGTCGTGACGAAGCTAGCTAATGTTGTCCGGGATGGTCTGATGGTGATGATTCATGAGTGCGATCGATTACGGTAGCGATGGTGATATCGTCTTAGCTGCTGCGACGGTACGGCAGGAAACGGGCAAGTTTCAGTTGACGATAAAGTCTGAATCTACAGGATGTAGCTATCCTTCGCGAGTTTCCAATGGTTGCAGTTGTGGGCCGCATTTGTCCGAGTGCGAGTCATGTGAACATGTGCCCAATACACGTCAGTGCGAGCTGAAGCATGCCCCTGCCCTCTGGCTGCCCCCTTGCCCCTGCTGCCCCCTGCCCTTGCTGCCCATAGTTTGACCAATCAACCGTTTCACGGTCTTCTGTGAATCTTGGGTGCTAGGTTGGTCTGCATTCAGCAGCATGGTAAGTGCACATGTCTTTGATCTGCTGCCCGACCTCAGATGCACACTTCTGCTTCAGGGGTGACTTAGCAACTTGAAAAGGTCGTTTGGGTAGAGGACTACTCACATGCCTGCGTACCTTTGTTTCAAAAGCCATCTCGAGTGAATGCTGATTTTGCCGTCATCACGAACCTCCACAGACTCAGACCCAGCCAACGGAAGACGCCTCAGCAAAAGATCGTCGGAGCATATTGAACAACTGCACACATGAAGCCACGCTTCCTCGAGGCTCATTCGAGCTGCTGGCACCTTTGCCACCATCATCACGAAGGCTTTATTCCTGCGGATCGGATAGAGTGCAAGTGTGTGTGTGTGTGAGAGCGTCTGGCTTACACCGCACTGTGCTTGAGTGTTCTCGTTGGTTTGTCGGCCGCTTTGTCATGACTCTCACAGCACAAACTTCGATATCTGTGTACCAAGCCCTGCTCCTCCAGAGTGAGTCGATGCGAAAGGTTGAAGACCCGTGACCATGCAATTGTGAGTGGCATACGTGAGTGCTCTTAGACAATCACGACATCTGGGCCTCCGAATAGATCAGAGCTTGTGGTCATTGAAGCATTCCTCCTCGAACTGCTTCGGCAGGCCGAAGGTGCAAAGATTGCTGCCGAGCTGAAATTTGACAGCCCTGGGACAGGACAGGCACTTCGCCACCATCAAGCTCCGGTCCACCGAGATCAGGAAGTTCCCACTGGAGTGCTGGATCCACTGGCTCGGATTAGGGCTTAGGGCCCAAAATTGGTTGTAGGGCTTAGGGTTTGGGGGTTATTGGTGGACAGGGCTAAGGGTTTAGGGGGTAGGGGATGGGTTTCGGGTTTAGGGGTCTTGAGATCTGGATTGGCTTCATTGACCCTGTCACAGCAGAAAGAAGACACACATGATTCCAACCACCTCAAGCCCCCGTCGACGGCTACCACTACTGCTGCGACAACTACTTGCATTGTTGTCAGTACTTGTCCGGCCAACACCACCAGCACTGCTACAGAAACGATAATGGTTGCTGGCAGCATTGCTGCGACCAGCAGAAGCGCACCGAAGCTAGCCTCATCCACTCCTTGCGACGATTGCACCATTATCCCGGAAATTATCCCTGTCCCAGCTGGTGGCAGCAGCACCTGCAGCAGCTGCAGCACGAGCACTGGCGTCCGCAGCAATAGGGGGAGGGCCACAACAACAACATCAGAATCAATACAAAAAACAAGAACCTCAGGGAACGGCAACAACTACCACCAACAACAACAACAAAACAACAACACCTCGACGATGGCAACACCTGCAGCTGCAGCTGCATCTTGTGCGGCTGCTAGTTCGGCTGCTGCCACAACTACGTACTGATGCCAGCACGTGCTTGTTTACATGCTTGCTTGCGTGCTGACTCGGGTACTCACTGAAACACTACCTATTGACCCACAGTACCCGATGTTCCCAGTATTTAAGCAGCACCGCCTGCAAACTGCGTGTGTAGCTGATTTATTCTCTCTACTCGTCACTGCCTGAGCATTTTCTGAAGTTGAGAGCCCCTGTAAGACGGCAGGCTTGTCGTTGACTCGAAAACCGTTCAAACCATCTATGGCAGGGCATCCATCGGGCAGCTGTCGCACCTCGAGCGTGCCATGCGCTTCAAAGGCACCTGGTTGCCTGAACAATTACCCATCCTTTTATTCTAAGCATTGAGGCCTGTGTATTACGTATACGACGGACAAGGACGGCAGTGAAATGTCACATCTACAATAAGCTGTCCTGGACCCTCAACCGACTCCCGCCGACCCGTAAACACCTTGTCATCGGAGGCGACGTAGGGTTTAGAGTGTAGCGTCGCCTGAGCTGAAACCAGATCGACAGTAGGAGCTGTACATTGCCAGTTGGTCTGTTTGGCATGATGCGGGATCAAGGCTTTAATTGTCAAGAGAGCATGCGAGATCACGCGAGAATACAACACAAGAGGCTCTATTAGTGTGTATTGCAATAACGACAACAAAGATGTGCTTCTACAATCAAAGCGAACGGATAGGCGTCAGTGAAATGTTTGCTATATATATATATATATTTATTTATATAGTTGATATGTACTATACATACTAAGATGGGGCAGAAACAAGAATAGCCGAAGCTTGCAGTACCATCGCCTGACACGCATACCACAGTGAGCCATTTAGAAAGCCGTGTGCAGCCATGGCGAAAGCCGTCGCAGCCCCGAAATGTCCCGCTTGCAGCAAAAGCGTCTATGCTGCGGAAGAGGCCTAGACGGCCAACAGGATTTAGGGTGTCAGGGTGTGAAGGGTTCTTCGGGCTGAAGATGTATCTGGGGGTATGGGATCTGGAGTGTGGAGGTTTAGAGTTTATGCTGTTGGCGCTTGAGGTTTTGGTTTTAAGGACGGAAAGGTTCAACTTCAATTGTTGGGTCCAGTCTGTCAGAGTCCTGCGTCGCTACGTTTAGAGTTTATGCTGTTGGCGCTTGAGGTTTTGGTTTTAAGGACGGAAAGGTTCAACTTCAATTGTTGGGTCCAGTCTGTCAGAGTCCTGCGTCGCTACTGAGCACCTGCTTGGCAGGTCAAAGCCCTCGACCATTCCTGGCACCCGCTCTGCTTCTGCTGCAAAGCCTGCGGTAAATCTTTGCGCGGAGGGAACTACAAGGAGACGCTGTAGGGGAGGAGGTCCAACTAGCTGGCATGGGCTTTGGCCATTCGGCCGTAGTCTGGTGCAAGAATCCTCTTTGCAGTCTTGTGCCACTTCTCAGAAGTTAGCAGTATCTTCTGCCAGGACCACGACGGCAACCCATATTGCGAGGCCGACTACCACAAGCTCTTTGGTCCCAAGGGCATTGGTTTCGGAAGCACGCTTTGCGACACGGGCATTGCCACGGAGAAGCCGAGCGAAAATGATGAAGAAGATGTCGAGCCCGTCTCGATTCGAGATCGTTTGGCTGCCTTCGAAAAGAAGGCGGTGCCTGCAGCTGTTGCAAGGGGAGCTACAAGTTCGGCACGGTTCCAGTCCTCTGCCCCCAAGTGTCCGGCCTGCAGCAAGAGCGTCTACGCAGCGGAGGAAATCAAAGGTTTGGGCCGGTCATGGCATGTGCTTTGTTTTTGCTGCAAGGCCTGTGGTAAGAGCCTCCGCGGTGGACAGTACAAGGACCATGATGGCCATCCGTACTGCGATGCAGACTATCGGAAGCTGTTTGGCCCCAAGGGCCTTGGCTTCGGCACGACTTTGGGGGACACCGGGGTAGCTGCGGAGCTGCCCGGCACGTGCACCCCGGTTTCAGAAACAGGCTACCCCGGTACTTTGAGGGAGAGACTGTCGGCGTTCGAAGGCCAAGCACCGCCTGCACAGGCCGAAGCTGTGCCGTCTGACGCCTCCTTGACCAAAGCCTCAAAGGTCTTTGTCGCGTCCTCTGCCCCCAAATGCCCAGCTTGCAGCAAGAGCGTCTATGCAGCGGAGGAGATCAAAGGTCTAGGTCAGTCTTGGCATGCCCTGTGCTTTTGCTGCAAGGCCTGTGGTAGGAGCTTGCGTGGCGGACAGTACAAAGACCACGAGGGGCAACCATACTGCGAAGCGGACTACAACAAGCTTTTTGGTCCCAAGGGCATTGGCTTCGGTACGACACTTGGGGATACTGGAATTGCTGTCCATGCTGCGGCAGAAGCTCCTGCAGCGCCACAGCCAGAAGCAGAATGTACAAGTGGTCTGAAGGAGAAGTCATCTGTGTTCGAGGAGCAAGACAAACCGGCACGGACAGATGCCGTCTCCGAAGCAGGAGATGAGGGCACCGATCAAGCGAGCACATCTCTCGCCAGAACCGCCAAATCAGCCCTCCAACCTAGTGCTCCGAAGTGCCCGGCATGCAACAAGAGTGTCTATGCGGCGGAACAGATCAAGGGCTTAGGGAAGACTTGGCACGTGCTTTGCTTCTGCTGCAAAGCCTGTGGGAAGAGTCTTCGAGGTGGCCAGTACAAAGATCACGAGGGTCATCCATATTGTGAAGCGGACTACAGCAAACTTTACGGGCCCAAGGGGATTGGCTTCGGAAGTACTTTGGCGGACACAGGGATCGTTCGAGCTTGATCGGTGCTTCAACGAGCTCTGAGCGTGAAGAAGCTGCAAACCCCCTCCAGACATTCAAGATCCATCAGCAGCTGTGCTTCATCACCATCTTTTAATGCACTGCAAGCTGTTTTAAATGCGATACGTAATGTCCCAACGTGCTACAGGTAGGATAAATGGATGTGCTTGCTGGTCAGTTGCTCCGGTGTGGCCACCTGGCTTCCACTCGCGCTGACGATATGTGAAGCATTCCATGCTTTTAAAACCAGCGAAGGAGGCATGTGCACAAAGAACGAGGGTGTGTTGTCATTGCGTGCTGTTCGGGGGTGGGTGATAGCCAAGCATCGTTCACATTTGGAATGCCTCAAACTGGGCGCTTGACGACACTGATTGAGTGGGTTGCCTCAATCAACGAGCACTAAACTCCTTTCCCTTAACTGGTCGCAGGGGACGACATGGGACAAGTTGCCTATCAGATGCGAGAGTTGCGGTATCTTCTGATGGGTGTGTTTCACCAGGGCCAATGCAATCTTTTATTATCTTGAGAACCTGAATTTGCATTAAGCTCTACCTTATCGTTGGAATCTTGAGAAGCTGCTTTGAACTGACCACACAAACTCCTAGCGGCCCTAGCGATGCTTTGGACACTTTGAAGAACATGAACACAGACACACAGCCTATGCTCCAGTTTGACTTGCCCAGACAACGACCCTGAATCCGGAGCAATCGGATCTTCGTGTGCAAGCTGACACACAAGAACTTCTAGCGATCTTCATAACACAGCACGATACTGAAATAGTCAAGCATACCTTTCAAAAGGGGGAGCCTGGACCAGGCAAGGCGGGCGTCAACAGATGGCTTGGCTGGCGACCTTCTGTGCGCGGCAATGCCATGGATCCGTCCGGATGCCCAACAGTCTTGTCAGTACACACAGGCAGTGCAGTCTGAATGCAGGAAGGAAGTAAACCTCCCACGCTCCGCTGGAACAACAGCCCTGTTTGCCCAGGATAGGTAAGTAGGGCCTGCAGGTTCGTCAGTCCCTGAAATTCGTTCCGCAAATCGCAGGGCTTTTTCATGGTACAAGTACCAAAAATTGTGCTGGCATTGTTTATCCAGGCTTTGCTCGTGTGTATGCCTGTCGGGTCATGTGTATGTTCACGCAGTGCTTGGCCGACATGTAGGCATCACATCTGTCTATCTATCTATCTATCTATCTGTCTATCTATCTATCTATCTATCTATCTATCTATATATGTTTATTTATTTATTTATATTATGCATGTACACACTAGATTCACTAGATCAAGCGATCGAGAGATCGGCAGATGTGGATCGATGTTGTTTGCTTCTCGGTTCTGCCCACCCTGTAATCAGCGGAAGGTAAAACACAAACAATAAACCCGAGGAAAGCAAGTGCTTTACTGCGTTGGGAGGAAGGTTTCACCCCAACACCGCAAGCAGGTGACCCGGAAAATCCCTGCAGCGTTTTACCTTACGTTTAGGCTTTGGGGGGGACTGACCAAGGCATAAGCATCCCCACGGTGGTGGAACGAGCGCCAAGCATACGAAGAGGCCAGCAGGGGAAGTGCGGACCGTTTGAAGCAATTGGGGGGTGATTGTCTTGAGCTTCCGACTGCCCTTGACCCTAAGGGCTCTAAACCCCGAAACCCTAAGCATAGATAGGCCCTAAACCCTAAGCATGGATAGGCCTATAAACCCTTATAAACACCGCGGCTGGGTCTTAGCTCTGCCGCACTCGCGGCACCTCTTCGCCTTCCTTGGCTCCTGTAGCTCCCCCCACCCTGAACCCTAAACCCTAAACCCTAAGCTCCCCCCCAAAATACGAGCCAAGAGCCGGAAGCCGGGGAAACCCAGGGTTTTGCAGGGGTTGGAAGAGTTGGTCCATATATAGTGGTGGTAAAAATGTACTCGAAAGCCCCCATGCTTACTTCTTAAAGCCCCCAAACTACAGCTTCGGTTCAGAAAAGGTCGGCTGTACATGAAGCGAAGGAGGTAGAAAGGCTGACTTGCAATGGTCTGCCAGTCTGCCAGCGTGTTTCAACTCTGTAACGTCATAAAGAACACGGTCTGCATCATCTTGAATCTCCGAAGACTGTGACAGGCCGCCTGTGTCCCCATGGGGCATCCTCCGCACGGGGTACAAGACGCGTTCGCCTCTGAAGCCACTGGGCCTGCGCCTCGGGCGACGCCGAGTTGATGAAACCAACCGCAGTCGCGATTCACCCTCAACCCTTGCTTGATGGCTGGAAGCAAGTCTGAAACCCTATAAACCTCGCTCTCGCCGAGTTTAGTGATTGAGGACCGTGACTCTTGTTCTGGGGCCGAAACATCTCAGCAAGCCTTGGTGCTTAAGGGCGACTTGTGCGTGTGTACACTGTGCGGCTATACGAAGGTTCTTCCGGATACTGCGTAGCAGCATTGGAGGTAGTTCTGATGTGGTTCGGGCTTTCACGAGTTTGGAAGTCATGATATTCGGAGGTTCTGCTGAGGGACAAGTATCATTTTCCTGGCGAGGCACTCGCCTCTTTCTCCGCACTACCGGGTAGCTACAACGGGAATGCAGCCTTCTTCGAATTCCCACCTCAATCTCCAAACCCCTAAACCCACAACCCTAAACACAGTAAGCCCTACACCATCCTTATACCTAAGCTATAAGCAATTGGAGGCCTCATCGTGCGGCGGAAGTTGCCTGGAAAGGCATGCTCGGAGGGGCTTGTCGAGGGCAATTTTAGCAAATCTAGAGCTGCCTTGGGCGCAGTGTTTATGTTTTAAGTCTCTTGAAATGGGGTCACCGTCGTCCCTCATTCACAACCTCTAAGTGCGGCCAACCGAAAGTCCGTTGTAGAGATCCTTGCGTATATCTCGCAACTGTCTGCCTAAGCCCTGCAAACCCTAGCCCTAGCCTCCGTATACATAGCAAATGTTAAAGATAGAAATGGCATCTTGGATAGGGGTACTGGAATATTCCTAGGACGGTA